TACACCAGAAAGGTTTTGGAGAAAGATTCATTCATAGAGTGGGAGAGGTAATATTGTTTTTTGATAAACCTTGCGTCACATTCTTTCTCAAAATGCGTGGATCTCTATCCAATTACAAAAAAATTGAGAAACCTCAATGTTATAACATCTTCAAACACACACCGAACATGAACTCACGAGAAACTATTCTCCTTTTTCAACCATACTCAGCCTTAGTATATAGACTTTGATGAACCTTAAAACTAGGCGATATATGGATGGCTCCTTTTTCTCGTTTTGTGTTAAAATGAGCCCGTCCTTTAATTCAGTTGTTGGCCTTTTCTCCTTGCGGCCAAATCGTTTCTAACTGCACTTTTTATGCTACCTTTCTGCTTTTTTCTGTTATCTCAAAGCTATACTCCGCTAATTTTTTTCAAAGGTGTGATAAAAGTTTCAAAAACCTTTTTGCAACTTCCAAGGGTACGATTGAGGATGATGGCAATGGGTTTTTACAGGTAACAAAACTTCTCTTATTCCAGAAAATTGAGTCGTAAATGTGATATGCTTCTTTTGAAATTTCTCAGCCTATTGGAATTGTAAGCATTAAAGCATTGTTTTGTTATTTTACATGAAAGATATCGCATGGAAGCTTTATGTAAACTCTAAAGACTTAACCAAATTAGACTAAGCTAATTTAGGGCACATTTTTGTCTATCAAAGGTTTTTCTTTGCATCTCAGGTTGATTTTGCAAACAGACTTGTTGGTGGAGGCGTTATAGGCGAGGTATGGGGTTCTTATTTCTGTCTGGTAAAAACGATTTGATTCGATTTTCCACGGTCACTTCTACAACGTTGTGACATGCAAGAAAGTATTTGATTTAACAATGTCAATATGCTCCAAGCCATGTCAATTGAAACTGCAAAGTCTTTGATAGATTTAACTATTGACTCAGCTTCATCACCTTGCTATCTTTTTGCAACATGTGATGAAAATGATGAGAGATCTAGCAACGTGACGTGAGATCGATTTTTTTTCAACTCGTAGTAAGTGTCGATATTTACCCCTCAGCCTTTTTCTCAAAATATTCAAAAGCAATGAGCCCATTTGAAACAAACATCAGGTCATTGGTGCTTTGTTTTCTTATGTGATCAATTGTGCTTTGCCCTTCATCTGAAGATACCGTTCATTGGACTAGTTACACCAAGGCAAATGTGAAGCCATCATATGCAAAAGATTCTAAAAGAAAATGCCAGGGATTTTTCAGGATAGTTTTAGCAGGTGTATACATATCTTCTTTTTCAGGGACTCATTGCATTAAACATCAGTCTTCTCTCTCAATTCCATCGTCGTTTGCATAACCACCCAAGTTTAGATATCCATTTCTTTTTTATTTGTGGATGCATTTTTTCTGTCTTTCGTCTCTTCCCTTCCCTTTTGCTGGAGAATCAGTTTTTACTCTTTCTATCAATTGCAGGGTTGTGTGCAAGAGGAAATACGTTTTTTGATTTGCCCAGAGCTGATTCTCTCCCGACTGTTTGTTGAAAGACTTGATCCAAACGAAACCTTGCTCGTGAGAGGTTTGTAAAAATCGAGATATTTTCAAGGTCACTGTTTCAATTGTCTTAAAACTAACCAGTTCATTAACCATTCAGAATTTTCTCCCATTTTTGAAAAAAATGCACATAAGTTTTTCCCGCATTTACTTTGATAACCTGAGGTTTTGCTATCTATTTTTGCTCCCCGTGGTTGGGCATTTTTAAGAAAATTTAGTGCAGATTTATAATAACAATTTTCCAGTTGCTTTATTTTCAATTAGGACAAGGCATTTACGATCTTGTTATAATTCTTTTCCGTGTTATTGTTTCTATTTGTAGTTTGTTGTTTGTAATTACTGTTTTGGTATTTCCCCAGTCGCACATTGTTGCATATTGCTGCATTATTAATCTGGTTTCAGCCTGTAGTGTTTGCTTTTGTCTCGTGTGTTTCTGCTCATGTTTAATGGCACTGATAAGCATTCAACTCATTTAAGCCAAGGTTTATTTTATTCTGCAGGTGCTGAACGCTTTAGCGATTACACTGGGTATGCACAGACGTACACATTCCGGAATGACTACATCGACCTCACGCCGCGGTAAGCCTTTACTAGCTCGAATTAGGTATGTGTTAAGAAAAGCTAAGTTGATACGTAGGACGCAGGATATAGCCATACCTCAACCGATTTATTGCGCAGAAAAAATTACAACAGCTTAGAACAGAATAAAAAATAATATTTTAAGATCCTTAAAGAAGCTGCTGAAAAAATCCATCAACACATACAATGTACCGCTTTCCCCTTTTTCTGCATTAGGGCGTCTGTTAATAATATTAATATTACACTGATTAAACAAACTTCGGTGTCTAACAGCAGTACATATTTTATATACATTATATGGTAACAACAAATCACTCACCATACACAAATAGAACTTCTGTGATGCATCATGTATCCTATTATATTCCATAGCTTAACATGCTTACAAAAATTGCAGCATACAATACTGAGAAGGACAATTTTCTCCACATTAGTAGAACAAGTATTGTACTTTTCAAAATTCTGTAAATATTTCGGCCACACCCTTAAAATCCCCGCCCATGATAAGAGCTTCTGAGCTTTGATGTATAGGATTTATACTGTAATACTGCAATTCATTTTCACACCTTTTTATCAAATTTTCCCGAAACGCCCAAAAATAGAAAGTACTATAGTTTTGACTGACAAAGGAAATTAAGCTGAAATTTTAGAATTATAATTGATGCATTCTGAGGACAAAGTGGTTACTTTCTTCAGAAATTCTGGATGATTTGATATGGGATGACCAACAACAATATCAACTAGGTCTCAGTACTGTTTCTCTTGCGTATCAAATAAACAGGGTCACAATGGTACTCACACCATTTTCTGCAATGTTTGTGATTATACTGTATAAGATGATACTGTATTTTTTTGATGAACATCATCAAGGCATTTTCTTGTTTTTCCTTCCAGAGACAGATGGGGGCGCCTTTACACCGAAGTCGTTGCAATGGATGCACATGTCTTTCATACTTACTCGCAGCAATTCGCTCAGTCAATGCTAAAGAGAGAGTTGAACAAAGTATTTCTCTCAATGAAATCCAAAATCCTTTTTTCTGTTAGGCCTACATACGGCTTTCGATCTTTGTTTTTTATATGTCAGTTATCCATTCCAGAAATTTGTCATTCAATTGGTGATTCAATTTGATTTCCTTTTTGTGGTTGCTACAAATCTAAGCAAGGAAAGTAATCAGTTAGACAACAATTTGTACTTGAACAAAAATATGTAAAACGCTGCTTTGATCTCAAACATCATTTTGCATTGTTTTTCAGGCACATTGCGCTTTTCAGAGTATTGATAATTTGGATTTTCTCCCAGCTGTTGCAACTGGTAATTTCGCTATTTCTTTCTTTCTGTTATTTCTTACCCTCTAAAAGGCAACACTTTTCTTCAAAGTTTCGATTTTCGTCTTCTTTAGTTATTTTTAGACAGCCAAATGCTGACCAAGAAGAAGGTCATAACGATAACAGATTTTCCTAACCGCTCAAATATTTTGTCACATGGACATGATGCTCTAGACTAACATTAATAGCCTAAAGTCATTTGGTATTTTTACTAAAAGTAAAATCGTTATCGGGCCGATCTTATCATCTTATTGATATGTTTCTAGGCAACTGGGGCTGTGGAGCCTTTGGAGGGGATGCAAGATTAAAAGGTATCTTTTTTTCTTGTTCAAAGCCCTGCAATTTTTAATTTTTCTGATAAGCAAAAATATTTCCATCATTTTTCCATAGATTCGATGAATTTTCATAATCCTTCTTGCCGCAAAAATTGATAAACTTTCCAACATTTGAATTTCCCTCAAGGCCCTACCACTTGTGCCATTTATTTGTATTTTTATCCTCATTGGCTTTTGTACCTTTTGGTACCTTTTACTGCTTACCCTTATTTCATAAACTTAGTTCCAATCTACACTCCATCTGTCTGTCACTTTTTCCTTAATTTGTTGCCTTACCACTAGTGCCATTTATTTGTATTTTATCCTCATTGGCTTTTGTACCTTTTGGTACCTTTTACCGCTTACCCTTGTTTCATAAACTTAGTTCCAATCTATACTCCATCTGTCTGTTACTTTTCCATTAATCTGTTGCCTTACCACTAGTGACATTCATTTGTATTTTGTCCTCAGTGTCTTTTGGACCTCAACTTTTTAGCTTTCCTTCAGTAGCTTACCTGTTTGAACTTACCTTTAGTACACAATACATCTCGAGCCAACGTTTGTCTTGTTTTTTAATTACGTTTTTTTGATTTCGTTTTTCCTGATCATGTTTTATTGATGCTTACCTGCTTATTTTGCCCCTTCAGCATTAATTCAATTGATAGCAGCAGCTGTATCATCCAGAGATCTCATATATTTCACGTTTGGTGACACCGTGAGTTTTCTCATTTCTGTAACTCGATAATTATGATTATGCTTCGAAGGTGAATTTTCATCTGCTTTTTGCATCTCAAATTATTTTTCTCAATACCAACTGATAAAAGAAAAGTAGAATTCAGTGAAAGTTGAAAACAGGTCATTGAAATGAGGAATTAGGTAAAACAACCTAGAGTTAAACCATCGTGAAATGCTTGAGGGGAAAAGTATGCAGTCCAATCATGAAACTGCCTCGTTTCTGTCTGCAAAATTGCGCCTCCTCTGCGACAATCATACCGATCAAACTTATAATGCACAGATATGCGTCAATGACCTGTTTGTTAGTCAGTTGGGCAAAGGGGCTCTTGGAGTTTTTCAACTTCAGCACGAAAAAGCTCTTTAATTCTTTTCAAGGAAAGCAATTCTTCGAAACTTTGAAGTCGATACCTTGAAGATATTGTTGTCACATCAACCTAAAAGGCGCTATTTCCCCTAGACATGCCATTGGTATGTTGCAAGTAGGTGTTTTTCTACTTGCTGTAGAATATCAAACAATAATGAACGCATAAGAATGAAAGCTATTTTGTTTTATCCGAATCTGGTTTTCGGTTCCATATTGCCTGAACGCTAGGAAAGTTCTTTGGTAAAATTTATGTCACAAAACGAGTAATTATTTCTGAATTTATCGTCAGAAACTCTGCGAGGATTTGAGGGGTTTTCATTCGCTGTTGTTGGAGCATAGAGTGTTTGTTTCGAACTTATGGAGAATGCTTCTGAGGTATGAAAGGGAGTTAAAGCGAAGAGACACTCATATTGAATTATACCCCTACCTGAAAAACCTGCTGGAAAATCCAGATTGTGGCAAGAAAGAAGCGGACGGTGCCGCAGATATTTCAGAAAACGCTGTGCAGGACGATTTAGAAGCAGACACATTAGTCCTTCCTGGTGAAGGTGGTAGCGATGTTTCTCCAGATTACAGGAACGAAACTCCTTAAGTTGCGTAAGACCACTTGTAAATGTTTGTTTTTCGGCGTCCACGCTATAAGTAAATTTTGTTTATGTATGTAACCATTGTAAAAAAACTTATGTTCAAATTTTATTCGCTTCTACGCTGCAGCCTGGAACTCTAATGATTTACTGGCCAACAAAGTTTTATATTGGCTATACTTTCGATGCCCTTTGGTGCTTCGAGTCGTTGATATCCCGTGTATGAGAAGCCCGTGTTCAGTTTCGTTTATAATGGTTGACATATAAATTATATGCGAGCAAGACATAACTCTAAGTAGTTTTTGTTCCAAAGCCTTACCTTATCGAATCCAGTCTCAAACCTTTTTCTCTGTTACCTTACTAATGAGCAGGTTTATTTAAGTGAAAGCCAAACAAGAAAGACAGAATACGCCTCAGTTGAGCTCAGCCTGTGTCCTTCAATTTCAGTTATTTTATTCAAAACCTGCAAGGCTTGTGACAACTTAAAGAGCACGAATGATTTTAAATAAACAAAACAAGATGTACAGAAAGGTACTGATCAAACTATAGAATAATTGATTATATCATGACTTTTACGGTCAAAGCCATTTCAACTCGGTGATTTTCTGAGAAATGTTTTGCGTTTCTAAGAAAACAAAGCAGCCGAAGGTTGCTTTGGTTTTTGGTTTTGAAATATTTGATTAAAAATGGATGTTGATGTTTCAAATATGAATTTGCAGATCTCGGGTCTTTGATCGTAAATAACCCCAAATCTTTTATTGTGCTAACAATGTTTCAATGAAGAACAATTCCCAGGAATTGGAAATCGCGAGGTGGTTGGTTATTCATTAAAAACGATTTATAAGAGTTTTTATTATGGAAGATTTTTCGCTTCCCTTTCACCGGTTTTCCCCCTTGGAGAACCAGTTCTTCGAGGGAATCACCTTGATCCTGATCTGTTTTCTGAGAAATCACCTGCTCCATTTTAGGTTTGTTGGAATTCTTTACTGCCTTTATAACCGAATACTTTTGTATCAAGGTAGATTCATTTTCGCGTAAGAACAGTGTTTCAAGGACCAAAACACAGTCACAGGAAGATTTTTCTGTAAGTATTTTTTGTAAGTAGTAAGTATTGACTATCTAATAAAAGCGAATGCAGTCAAAATTGTTACGTCATCTTGTTTACATTTCTTGCAAAATTAAAGATTGCAAATTAAAGTATGCAATTCTCAGGGCTTTTTCGTGTATTCTGTTAATCTTACTGCATGTTGCTGGGAATGTTCCTAAGAAAAAGACCACCATTATCTTGCTGTCTTTGTAGTCAGAATGTGATGTTAAGAAGGAAGAGATAGGATAGGAATATAATTTATTTACTAAGAAATGATGTTTGTTGTTTTGTTTTTTTTTCTGTTTAACTGAAATGCGCAAAGGGAAACGAAAAGTTTAATTTCAGTTATTTATTCAAAACCTGCAAGGCTTGTGACAACTTAAAGAGCACGAATGATTTTAAATAAACAAAACAAGATGTACAGAAAGGTACTGATCAAACTATAGAATAATTGATTATATCATGACTTTTACGGTCAAAGCCATTTCAACTCGGTGATTTTCTGAGAAATGTTTTGCGTTTCTAAGAAAACAAAGCAGCCGAAGGTTGCTTTGGTTTTTGGTTTTAAAATATTTGATTAAAAATGGATGTTGATGTTTCAAATATGAATTTGCAGATCTCGGGTCTTTGATCGTAAATAACCCCAAATCTTTTATTGTGCTAACAATGTTTCAATGAAGAACAATTCCCAGGAATTGGAAATCGCGAGGTGGTTGGTTATTCATTAAAAACGATTTATAAGAGTTTTTATTATGGAAGATTTTTCGCTTCCCTTTCACCGGTTTTCCCCCTTGGAGAACCAGTTCTTCGAGGGAATCACCTTGATCCTGATCTGTTTTCTGAGAAATCACCTGCTCCATTTTAGGTTTGTTGGAATTCTTTGCTGCCTTTATAACCGAATACTTTTGTATCAAGGTAGATTCATTTTCGCGTAAGAACAGTGTTTCAAGGACCAAAACACAGTCACAGGAAGATTTTTCTGTAAGTATTTTTTGTAAGTAGTAAGTATTGACTATCTAATAAAAGCGAATGCAGTCAAAATTGTTACGTCATCTTGTTTATATTTCTTGCAAAATTAAAGATTGCAAAATTAAAGTATGCAATTCTCAGGGCTTTTTCGTGTATTCTGTTAATCTTACTGCATGTTGCTGGGAATGTTCCTAAGAAAAAGACCACCATTATCTTGCTGTCTTTGTAGTCAGAATGTGATGTTAAGAAGGAAGAGATAGGATAGGAATAAAATATATTTACTAAGAAATGATGTTTGTTGTTTTGTTTTTTTTTCTGTTTAACTGAAATGCGCAAAGGGAAACGAAAAGTTTAATTTCAGTTATTTTATTCAAAACCTGCAAGGCTTGTGACAACTTAAAGAGCACGAATGATTTTAAATAAACAAAACAAGATGTACAGAAAGGTACTGATCAAACTATAGAATAATTGATTATATCATGACTTTTACGGTCAAAGCCATTTCAACTCGGTGATTTTCTGAGAAATGTTTTGCGTTTCTAAGAAAACAAAGCAGCCGAAGGTTGCTTTGGTTTTTGGTTTTAAAATATTTGATCAAAAATGGATGTTGATGTTTCAAATATGAATTTGCAGATCTCGGGTCTTTGATCGTAAATAACCCCAAATCTTTTATTGTGCTAACAATGTTTCAATGAAGAACAATTCCCAGGAATTGGAAATCGCGAGGTGGTTGGTTATTCATTAAAAACGATTTATAAGAGTTTTTATTATGGAAGATTTTTCGCTTCCCTTTCACCGGTTTTCCCCCTTGGAGAACCAGTTCTTCGAGGGAATCACCTTGATCCTGATCTGTTTTCTGAGAAATCACCTGCTCCATTTTAGGTTTGTTGGAATTCTTTGCTGCCTTTATAACCGAATACTTTTGTATCAAAGTAGATTCATTTTCGCGTAAGAACAGTGTTTCAAGGACCAAAACACAGTCACAGGAAGATTTTTCTGTAAGTATTTTTTGTAAGTAGTAAGTATTGACTATCTAATAAAAGCGAATGCAGTCAAAATTGCTACGTCATCTTGTTTATATTTCTTGCAAAATTAAACTGTTCTCCTGCTTCAGATTTATCAAGCATTGAAAGTTGAATACTGGACCAACTTAAATTCCTTTTTTGGTAGATTTTCCGTTTTAAAAGTGCATTAAATCTGGATTTTCAAATATATACCGCAGGGCAACTGTTTTTTGTAGCCCCTAAATCAAAATGGCGTGATATAATTTTAGCTCAGGTAAAGGAATTACCGTAAATTCAGGTAAAGGAATTACAGTCCAATATTGAGCCTAATTCTCCTTTAAATGAAAGCTGAGTCACAAAGATCGATAAGCTGGATCGACAGACCAGTTTTCTCTCAAACGAAAGCGGTCGAATCGATTGACGTCGATCGAAAAACAGGATCGACAGACCAGTTTTCTCTCAAACGAAAGCGGTCGAATCGATTGACGTCGATCGAAAAGCTGGATCGACAGACCAGTTTTCTCTCAAACGAAAGCGGTCGAATCGATTGACGTCGATCGAAAAGCTGGATCGACAGACCAGTTTTCTCTCAAACGAAAGCGGTCGAATCGATTGACGTCGATCGAAAAGCCGGATCGACAGACCAGTTCTCTCTCAAACGAAAGTCTCAAACTCTCTTCTCTCTTTAATATGCGTAAATTTATCACAATAAAGTTACGTAGGCCTAGATGATAAAAAGTGAGATACATACAAGCATATTTATGTAGATAATTTAAAGGATAAAAAAACTGTATCCGCTTGTACTTCACTTTCTCTAGAATAAATAAACAGGGGTCGAAATAACAGAGTTTTTCAGAAAGTTTTCTCAATTGATAAATCCACAAAATGAGTTACTTGTTCTTATTTTTTGCAGCTATTTGGTTTGTGTCACCCAAAGGATAAAACGTTTTCCCTGTGACACCATTGGGAAGGCATCAAAATGTGTGACAGGGCCACTACAGCAAAAGTTCCAGAGAGCGTTAACTACCATTTTACCAGGCAGTGTAATTACAAATGTGGCTTTTGCTTTCACACTGCAAAAACGTCGTTTGTCCAACCTTTAGATGAAGCTAAACGGGGCTTGAAGCTCCTCCGAGATGCTGGTATGCAGAAAATAAATTTCTCAGGCGGGGAACCTTTCTTGCATAAGCGTGGCAAGTTTCTGGGAGAAATGGTGAAATATTGCAAAGAGGAAATTGAGGTGCCCAGTGTCAGCATAATCTCTAATGGGAGCTTGATCACAGAAAAATGGATGCAGGAGTATGGGGAGTTCGTGGACATTTTGGGCATCTCTTGTGATTCTTTTGATGAATCGGTAAGAAGGGTAGCCTGTAGTCTATTCTAGCCAATTTGAGCAGTTTTGGAAAAAAAATTGACCAGAAATTTTGATAATAGGCTTAATCTTTTCATTGTATTTAATACCGACTAGCATGCTTATTTGCTACCACAGCCCTTCCCCTTTTTTCCGGGAAACTCCCCTTTCTAGGCAGATGAATCTCCGGTAAATGAAAGTTTGGCTGAGTTCCTCAAGCAGTCTGGGCTTTCTTCAAAACTTTTACAGTACTTTATACCATACCTTTGTCATTTTTGGATCAGGCTGAAATGCTACTTGCATCTTAATTTAACATAGCATATTAAGATAACTCCCGGTTGGTATTTAGTGCTCGACTCGGCATTTAATGGTCAGGCAACTGTACTTTATAATAATCGGAATGTGTTCAAAGACACATTGAAAAGCTTGGTGTAAATATTGTTTGACAGCCTAATGCTCTAGCTACGAGGCATACTCAGTACTGGCCACCTCCTTAATGACAGGCAGTTTGCACTCTGTTTACTGCATTCTACAGCACGTTTTGTCACACTTCTCCAGTATTTCATTTCCGTCTATATATTTCGCCTGGGCATTCATCAATCTTTCTAATCTACCTTTCCAGCTTCTCATCTTCTTGCTTTTTTCAAGGTAAATGAAAAGATTGGTCGACACACTAGAGGAAAGAATCACTTAGAAACAATGCACAGAGTTCACGATTGGTGCAAGAAGCATCACGTACTCTTCAAGATTAATTCCGTGATAAATTCTTACAACGTTGACGAGGATATGGGCAAATACATCACTGAGTTGGAACCTGTGAGGTGGAAGATTTTTCAGTGTTTGCCGATCGATGGAGAAAACTTTGGCGAAGGAGCGCTTCGCCAAGTCGAGCAATTCCTCATAACTGACGAGCAGTTTAAAGGCTTCATTGAGCGACACTCACATGTGCCGCAGCTTGTGCCGGAAAGCAACGACTTGATGAAGCAGTCGTATTTTATCGTCGATGAGTATTTTAGATTCATCGACAATGGAACCGGCAGAACCTCGAAATCAATTCTCGCTGTTGGGGTAGAGGCTGCAATTAAAGAAAGTGGCTTCATCGAGAAGAAGTATCTTGACAGAAGGGGACGATACAATTGGAGCAAAAATCCAACGTGCGAGAGTAAGAACCTCAGCTGGTGAAACAGGCTGCACTTAAGTTGCACGCTTGTATTAACTGAAATGATAGATACTTGTTGCAGTAATCTGCAATTCCTAAATATTTAATTTATATTATTTATTGAAAAGAGATATTTTCATTCAAATTGACGATAAATCTGGCCATAGAATAAGTATGTCTAGCGCCATTTAAATTTGTTCATTTTTCTTACTTTTATTGCCTTGTATATTCACGCAGTGCAACTTATCAACGTTAGGCAAAATCGTTTCCCCTTTAACTTTATTTAATCGATAATGTACAACAATATGAAAGGATATAAATGATATAAAATGAGCAACGATTGGTTGTAAGCTGCATAGATTTTTGTGACTTCCTCTAACAAGAACTTTGTTTCCGTGACATGCCAGGGCGGCATTAGGTTTGTCTCTAGGTGCACTTGCAGGCTCCAAGTAAACTTTCCATGAATATGGGCAGCAATTTTCCAAGGAAAGGTACCTGGTATTTCGTAAATTTCTGATAACTTTTTTTGCAGTTTTTTTTTACTCTGAGAATGTGAATTTTGGCACCTTTCCCGTTGTGTTTTCCATTCCAGGCTGCTTTGCGAAAAAGATGTGTCGAGGGTTGCCTCACTATGGCAAAACACCTCTGGAAATGCATTGCTTTTTGGTGCACAAGGGTTGCCACCGACGGCTACCACAGGGGGCTGTCACCGAGTTGCCATAAAGGGTGCCAATGAACTTGCTTAAACTAACTGCTCCTAATCAACCCTGCACCCCAATCACTTATACATCCCAATTACCCCTGCACCCTAATCACACCATGCACCCAAATCACCCCTGCACATTAATCACCCCTGCACCCCAATTACTTGTACATCCCAATCACCCTTGCACCCTAATCACCCCCAATCACCCTAAATCACTTCTGCCTCCACACACTATCAACGACTCTCCACTCTGTTAGCCAATTTCTTCCCTCAAAAGAAGTTTCTTCCCTCAAAAGAAGTTTCTTGCCTCAAAAGAAGTTTCTTCCCTCAAAAGAAGTTTCTTGCCTCAAAAGAAGTTTCTTCCCTCAAAAGAAGTTTCTTCCCTCAAAAGAAGTTTCTTCCCTCAAAAGAAGTT